ATTTAGATAGCTCCAACCGATTGCGAGAAAGAAGGGTTTGATTAGTATATATCGAAGCGCTCTTGTTAGCGGTTTTGTAAACATTTTGGTCTTCTTTATCAAATTAGCAAATAATTTTTAAAAACCGCTCGATAGATTTGTAAAAAAATTTACGATTCTTGAGATTAACCTTCCTTTTAAATGACCATTTAGTTTCAAGATTATTGATACATTGTAAGGCAGTAAAATAACGGCTACAATTCGCTACTTTTTATTGGAAGTCTCGTCATTACAAGAAAAAGCCTCTCATTATTCAAGGCATTGCCTCCAAGTTTAATTTTCACGTGAACAGCAGTAACTAACAATGCCTTTGACATATGCAAAAACTGCTAGCTATTGTTGTGCACGAAAATATGAAACTAGGAGACAATACCCTGAATAATGAGAGGCTCACACTTGTAAACACAAAATTTCAGCCAAAATATTAGCGAATTGTAGCCCTTATTTTACTGCCTTACAATATATCAATAATCTTGAAACTAAAAGGTCATATAAAAGGAAGGTTAATCTCAAGAATCTTAAATTTTTTAAAAAATCTATCGAGCGGTTTAAAAATTATTCGCTAATTTGATAAAGAAGACCAAAATGTTTACAAAACCGCTAACAAGAGCGCTTCGATACATACTAATCAAACCCTTCTTTCTAGCAATCGGTTGGAGCTATCTAAATGATCTTTCACACACGTTTTTAAAAAGATTGAAACTACTATGAGGTGAAATTGCATGTCAAAAGCTCTTCATTTTTTACAGATAACGGCCAAACAACAATATTGTCCATTTTTTACTGTGTTTCTAACTATAAAAACTTCATCCCAAAATATCTCGATAACGCTCTTACAGATTTCGCTTAAACTTCACGAACATCGAGGCCGCCATTGGAGGAAAAAGCGCCCGTGAACGATTTTGGAAGAACAGTTCCTAGTGCCGAGATATACTGCTGCAAGTAAAATAGGTAATAGCGTCATTTCGTTGCTATGACAACTCCGATGCCGTTGCAACCCTGATCATAACAAATTTTCATCTTTATCTAATACAACTGTGGTGGCAGTTTTTTCAAAACTTTGTTTATGGCGACGTAGTTTATGCTAAAACTTGGGAGGTATTGGCCCTGGAAAACTGTATCGAGCCACCTTAATCCCAAGAGAAGAGAGGGCAAGAACACCCAAACCTTTCGGGGCTCACTCGCGCGTGACCTACTACCCTCGAGACTTGGAACGAGAGTTTGTTAGCTGGCTGCTAACCCTTCGCGCGCTTTACTCTATAGAAGACGGGCAATAGGAACGGACGTGCAAAGGTACCAGGGAGGTGAATGCAACCTCTTAGACAATGGACGAAGATAAGGAATTCCCCATGGTCTAACTCAGTTTTAGTGTGTGGACAAAATTCTAGAGTGTAACCATTTAAAGCAAACTTCTCTAAGTCGACTTACGCGCGGTGGCGTCATTGGTTCTTAAACCATCGTACACTGCTTTCATACATTTCCTATGGTGCATTTTACTTGTTAGTCACTCTCTTTTTTCTAATACTGAATGTTTGATTGTTTTTACCCGTGAAGTGACAAGGGGATTCTTTTCGTCGATAGAACATCCTCATTTTGCCGCCTTCAGTTATGAGCACCAACTTAAGAACTACAAATTTCACTCTGGAGGGAAAGAGGGGAATCTCCCTTCTTATTAATAGACAGATACGAGGTAATCCATTTCAGGTGACAAGTCGAAACATGCGATTTTATCTGAACAGTAAAATCGTCCTTGAACGGCTTTTTCATTTTGTTTGTCAGAACTGTCGTTTAGAAAAGCCGCTGAGGAGTACTATAATGGAACTGAGAATGTACAAACTTAACTGATACCTGGATACATGCAGTTCAACCTCGATACAACCTCTACATAACGAAGGACCCTGTATAACTAGTCATATTCTTCGCCCCAGTCACAATAGAAAAAGGAACAATGGAACAACAAGACCCCCCTATTAAAGATTCCAAATATAGAGTTTCACGGAACACTTTTATTACTAGGGAAATTAAATGACCTTCATGCCACGGAGCAATTCTGATTTCATCTGTGTATGTGGCAAACGTTCCGAGGCAAATTTCTCATGGCAAATGTCTGTGGACACCGTGACCCCACCATGGATAAAAAAAACTAATAATTACTATTATCGTGGTACTATTTTCAAGATGAAAATAAATTTACCATGTGTTGTAATTGCACCTAATAAAAAGAAGGTATATAAAAGTTATATTGGGTGCCAAGCGGAGAGGATCCTCTCTTGTGTGGTCTGCATGGTTCCATACAGTCAAACACCGCTTTACGGACACCCACTTAATACGCACACCTCGTTATTATGGACAGTTTGCTTTGTCCCCTGGGGAAAGAAAGTCCTTACATTTTCTCTAAATTCAACCCACTTAATGCGGACACTTTCTATGGTCCCATCACTGTACGTCCGTATTAACGGGGTTTTACTGTACTGTGTACTTCACATTGTACCGGGACGCGGATTATAGAGGGGTTATATGGAGATTCCACTGTACAACATGACCCCATACATTATCCCTGTTTTCTGGAACTTTGCTATTTCTTGATAGTACCATCAGGTCGACCTTAAAACATGTTCAGACGTAACATATCTGGAAAATCAAACTGTGGACCTCGTGTAATAAATTGATTTCATCGCCAGCCATTTTACGAAAAAAAGAAATCAGACCCTCGCCCTTTTCACTCCACTGTTACACAGTAAAAACATGGTAACGTTACCCTGCCAGCAGCGGTTTCTTTTCGGTATGGTTTTTAGCATATATGAAGCCTTTCTCGTAGCTAACATTTGCGTTGTTGGCTTGTTTACTTCCTTAATGCTTAAAACCATGCTGGAGCAGACAAACCTCTCCAAGCAGGGTAGGCAAAGTGGCTGGATCTAGGAGTTTTGATAAAGAGGAGGTGGGAAGTTCAACTCATTTCATCTGTTGAATCTGTTTAACTGCTGATAATTTCCACCCCTTCTAGATCTAGCCGTTACACATTACTTCTACAAGGCAACGTCAACTATGTAGACCATTAATTTTAACTATTCGTGCAACACACAATTTTAACTATTATATAAATTAACATCAAGTTAACGCGCGTGTCAAGTCTCAAAAGCAGTGTGGTGGAATCCAGGTCAAGGAACGTCTTAACATGACCTTAATGTCACTACTGCATACATAGTAAATTACATGGTGCGTTTGTTTTTACTACAGTGTTACTGGAAGATGTGAGCCTCTTTCAGACATCTGGAACATTAAAAAAAAGCCATACCAAAGTGAAAAGGTTCACAATGTCCTTCTTGTCGGTTTAGTTACGTTTTGCGTCAATTCACACATTATAAGCCAGTGGTTAAAAAAATGTACTGATCATGATTGACGGTGCAAAACAAGTTCCTACCAAATGAAGGCTGCTTGCGAATGTTCAGCCTTAATTTTTTCCAGTTTCAAAGCAGTTGGCCTGATTGGTCTGATCCGCTACTCTGTTAATGCACGAAATTTCAAAGTTCGTAATATACATGTCTCTTTCAATTCCTGAATATAGCAGCTTGCATCCAGGGCTCTTCAAATGGATTTGATTTCCAGCTTTTGCAATCATTTTATTTTCATGCTCTTTATCCATCGTCAAGCACAACACTAAATAAAGATCATGGTCACTGATTTGAAGAATCCAGCTCTTTGTGCCCGGCTAATGACAGACCACCAGAAGTTGCTCAATTTACTTGTGTTGAAACTGCAACTGAAAACAGAAAGTCGGTTGTGTTATTCAAGAAAGCTGGAAGCTATCAAGTCTGAAATTCGCGTTTTCGCAAATTCAAAACAATCCCGAAGTCTACCACCCACGAAAACTGGAGTGCAAGAAAACTTAAAATTGGGAAATTTAGTACTATGTCACGTTACAAAACAAAATAATTCTTAAAGTTGCTGTAAGTCGTGGACGTGATGGCGATGATTTTAGGTAATTTCAAACATGGTTCTTTTTCTTAGATTTTTCCATATTTTCTCTCTGCTTCACTATCATCTGTGCCCAACAGTATAAATCTTTCAAAACCGTCTTTGGTTCATTCACTAAACTTTATGGTCGGCTCTTTCTTTTTGGCGCTGTTCCTTTTCATCAGCAGATCAAAGAATGGTATTATACCCTTTGTAACTTCGGTATTTGTTTCCACTAAATCGCGGAATACGATTTCTGAATTTTTGCGCGAAAATTTGTAAGAATGAGATTCACTCTAGACGTATATCTACGTATCGTGTTGTGGTGTGGGTACTGTTTAGGCCACGCGCTATGATTAATTATGGCTCCTGGTTTAGGCTGCAAGTAGTCCCCTATTTTCTTCAAATTAATGTTTTTAGTACAGAAGTATACGCGCAGGAGAGAGCCACCCTTAGTCACGCGTGTGGTTATTTTCGTGTATCGCGCCTGTCGCTCTATGGACTGATAAAACGGAGACTGCTCGTAGCGTCTAGGTACTGTTAGGTTACAGTAACTCGCGAAACTGGCCTTGTACCTATTTTTTTGACCGAGTAGAAAAGGCTCACCTTTATTTCTTCTTTTTAGATTCTGTTGGCAACAACTGTACGTGGACGAATTTTATTCTTGTCTCGGACAAACCAATGGCGACAAGAGGCTGTAATAAACAGGCTCCCAAAGAGAGCGGTCGCTCACCAGTGTCTAAAATACTTAGTAGATCTCCGGTTCTGATATTATATAATCGAAGGAAGTTGTCCTCACTGCAGCATACCAGAGATTAATCATCTAAAAACTTACATTTAACAATATCTCTCTGGCCCCGGTTGTTCAAACGTCGGATAGCGCTATCCACCGGATAAATCACTATCCAGCGGATAGCGTAATTGATTTCCGTAATACTTATCCGTTGGATAGTGATTTATCCGGTGGATAGCGTTATCCAACGTTTGAACAACCTGGGCCTGGTCTCTTAGAAAGACCTGCAATGTCTCTCCAGTTTCCGCATGAAGAACGTGTATACCTTGGCCCCGTCGAGAGTGTTCCACGTGACTACACAATCATTTTTGGGCGAAAAAATCATATCTGGGTGTAAAAGGTGCATTGAATCGGCAGAAAAAGTCGTGTGTCTTTCCCATCTTGTGATACCTTCCTTCCTCAAACTCAATGTTACATTCTCCTTGTCTACAAGACCGTGATTTCCAATCATTATAACCCTGGATCTACAAACCAGCACTTGGCTTAAATTGCTACTGCAAGGGATGCAGTCTACGCTTTCGTTAACGCCAGCGGATTTGATCCTTAGCGAGGAAATAAGCTTTCCTCCGAGGTCGGTGACGTCTATGAAGTCAACGCAATTGAAGTTATTATCTGAGCATTCTAACAAATCTGCTTTGGACGATTCTTCGTTTTCCTCCCGGTTTTGTAAACTTCTGATGCATTTTAATTCGTATGATCTCGGGTGATAAAAGAATGCTATCCGATTATCAGATACAGGGAACATGTTAACTCTGTATAGCATAGCAGTCTTAGAAGTAAGTTCGACAATACGTTGATTACACTCAGACAGATCGAAATTCCAGAGTTCAGCTACAATCCGCGATTTTTCAGTAGTAACGAGTACGACACCTGTCTTCATTGGAGCGATAGATGTAGGACCAGAGAATGTCTTTGACGTCAGGATTTCTCGAGTTGACATTCTCCAGACAGTGAGTGAAGAAGGAGGAGATGGCAACAACATGGATTTTTCAGAAATAATGAAGTAGATCATATCTCCTTCCAGAGAAAATACAATTTCTCTTTTATGAAAGTCGATTATTGTCTTCGTGTTTGTGAAATCAGGTTCACTCTTTAGTACGCCAACATTTAACATCATAACATAGTTGTGATCCGGGCTACCAGCCAATACTGTTTCATCGTCAAGTAGGATGGAAGAACCCGTACATAAATTTGGAATTCTTCTCTGAATTTTTTTGCTCCAGAAAAAGCTGTGGTCCTGCTCAAGAAAATCGGTGTTCTTTAAATTACGTGATTGACCACAGGGCCACAATACGAAGGGTCTACGTTCAACTTTTTCAAAATGAGAGTTATATGCATTTAAAGGCCTAAGAAAGATCAATTCAGGTTCTCCAGTAGCGTCATAACAGAATCTTAAGTCGCAATAAAGGCAATAATTTTCATCTTCATCTGCGCATTTTTTGTGTAGAAAGCCACAAACAAGAGTGTTGTTATCCGATGTGAAGCGTAACAATCCACACACGAAATAACCCAAGGGTTCGGGTAGTATAACATACAAACGAGAAGGGCGTTTTGAGTCAAAAACAGTAATTGTACCAGAGTGATCTACGTCAAGATTCGAAAAAGCAATCAGTGACCCATCATCAGAAACGGTAAAAGAAAATATGTATTTCTCACAATCAATAAATATTTTTTGGCCATTTACCATATCCCAAATGCTTATTCCTTTGGCTCTGCAGGGCAATGTGAATAGTGAGTCCCCATCTTTTAACGAACGTAAGGCGCAATTTGAGAACGTACAATCACTTTCTGGAAAAAGGTCTTCTTTCTCTCCAGTTAGGGTGTAAACATATTGAAGGGTTCCAGGTATTATCGACTTCCCATTTGGATGAAAGATGACAGAATTGTAAAATGACAAAAAATGCATCTCTATGTGACGATATGCGCCATTCACATGATCTTCATTTCTAAAACCATACTCTCTCTTTATTGGTGATGGACGAACCCATACCTTGGTACCAGTCTGCAGGGAAAACAGATGGATTGTTCCATCTCGACACTCACATACCAGGTAATCCATTTTAGGTGAAACATCGAAGCATGCGATATTGTCTGAACAGTAGAACCTTGCTTCATCTGCTTCCCTCGTCTGTTCCTTACTATTATCTAGGTTCTTCATGTAGGGTATTGTGGGTAAAGATGATTCGACGATACTTGCTGCTTCAGACGATAATACAGGAACCCCGTCGTTAATCAAACATTGGAAAAATAGGTGAGGGTGATCTAGCAACATATAATAGTGTTTTCTTAGAACATTATAGAGCAGTGTTGCAATCGAAAGTCTTTTCTCATTCAGTAGACCCGAATGTTCATTGCAAATAAGGAAGAGATCCTCCGTAGCGGATGTTCTATTTACACAGAGTTTTGCGTACATAAGCTCTAGGTCCGTCAAATACTGGTATACCTGATTGGATGTGCCAGTCATGGTCCCTGAACCAACAATCCATTTATGATCATCATTGGCCTCAAGCATGTGCTGGACAGTATGAATCAAAGCATAACTTTCAGTATTGGTGAACTGTCTGCCATGGACCCCTTTTCGCCTGATGCTATCGAGTTCAGAAGCACAAAGATCAGAAAGGACGTCATGACCTTCTTTCTCGTCCACGGTGAAATCATGTTGTTCATAGGGCGATGATGCTATTATCCAGTCCTTAATTGACTTGTGAAAAAAGTGAAGACGACCCTCGCGAACTGGTAACAGTGTAGAGATGCGACATATTGCTTTGTTAACTTTTCGCTGCGCGGTCAAAGACTTTTCTCCAGGGTATAGAATTTTGGCAATGAATACTACTGGTAATGGTTCTCTTGAAGCAGTCAATGCACACAGGAAACGCAAAAAATGTTCCTCATCTGCATGAAGCTCTTTGCAAAGTTCATTCTCTAACCGTTTGAAATAGGACAAGTAAACGGATGAAATACCTGAAGGCAATACGCTTTCCAGCTGATCAGGGGTGAGAACTGAAACATTCTTTTGGATAAAATCCACTATAAAATAAGCGTAAATAAACAGGCCTTCTGATTTCTTAACCAGCTCTTTCAAGAGAACATCTTTATGATCTTCTCCAATTTTGTTGCTGAGTTGATTTTCAAACAAGGTTTGAATGTCATTTAAGTTCTCTTCTTGCTTTTGTTCAAGCTCGATTGGCTTTAAATGTCGCAATGCCTCTGTTATGCTCCTCTCTGGACGAGTTGTGATCAAAATTCTAATCCAAACTGGAAGCATAGAAAAGTGGTTACTGATTACATGTAGAAGCTCATTGCGTCCTTGGTACTCGCTTTCATCGAGGCCATCTATGGCTATTAAGGTGTTTCTTCCAGGATCTTGTACTGTGCTTAGAGGCTCTTTGAACAGCAACGCAAACAGTTCTTCTACACCCATGTTGTTGAGGTCTTTTCCAGATTTCTTGACAGCTGTTCTACCAGAGTATCTTTGTAACTTGGCATCGCTTGACACAAGTGACAGGCCAAAGACTGGAGCATTAAACGCGGATCTCGGTACCTTGAATTGTTATGCTGACAAAAGTGGCTTCCCGAGAGTCTTCCGACCTTTTGCATTCTTTGCGAAACAACAGCGGAGATAACAGTCTTTCCCATCCCTGGATTTCCACTGATTACCATCACCCGATGTGGCGATGCTCGGTCATCTAACCAGTCTTCAATACTTTCGAAGATCCACTCACGAGTACCTTCCTGGAATTTGTTTGCATGAAATTCTATGTCTCCTTTGAATTCCGACTTCACAAGAGTTCTTAGCACTTCACCTGCCTGCTCGTTTCTCTTTTTCGTCAAGCTTTTTACTTCCTCTTTTACCTCTTGAATTGACGCACGAATTTCGTCTTGGGACTCGCACACTCCCTCTAAACGTGACTGTGCTGCCCTCATTTCTTGTTGTCCTTTGAGTTCTATTTCCACTGCTTCATCTACGACATCCTGAGTTTTGCTTAGGGCTTGACGTAGCTCTTCCATCTTTAAAGTGCCATCTTCAACCGTTTTACTGAGTTTAAGTTGCGTCTGCTGGATATCCTTCAGCTGTGTTTTTATGTCCTCTTCACTGTCAGCCCACTCAATTAAGGCATCAAGGTAATCTTCCTCTCCTCCCTGCTCTGCCTTCAGTCTGTCAATTTCTGCTTGATCTAAACCGAGCGAATAAAGAGTGGTGCTTATTTCTTGCCAAAATGTAGAGAAAGATGTCGCATCAACCCCTGTGGACGTCACGTGACCATACAGCTCATTCCGGAAGAACTTAACCCGAGCAAGGTTAGCCTCAAGAGAGTTATCACCAGGGGATGGCTTGGTGTGCCATCCTGTCAGGGGAGGGGATAAACCACAAATGTTGGTTAGTAGGAGGAACAGAAGAGTGATGTCAAACGTGTTGGAGTCTGGTAGCCCTCCACCAGAGGGGAAGAGTTTGTCCCACTGATGCTTATTTAGTACTCTTCTACGCAAAAGGTTGTTAAGAATGGAGTAATTGGAATTGAGATCAGAAGTTAAGTTGGCAGGAGGGTGATAGTGATCGAAAATATTCCTCAACACTGTTGTTCCCCCATCGATAAGGAGCCTGCTCAGCTTGTTTCCATTTGTCTTCTCTCTTGAGCTGGCCAGGGGTGAAGGTGCTGCTGTCGCCATTCAGCAACCTTGATGCAGAAGATGTTCATGTCTTGGAAATTCATTCTGAACCTACGTTGACAAGAAAGATATAACGTGGGTCACACTACAACGATTGACTCGCTCCGTCACTGTTTTTGCTTTGTTTTTATGATTACAATACCATGAAACCAACACCAAGTCATCCGTAAAGAGAGTTAGTGAATATTGTCAATACGTGACTGTTGATAGGAATACTATCATGATTATATATGAAAAAATTTACAACCAATCCCCTCAAAGAGGTGTTTAACTTATTAACTGTCGAGGGTATTTAGTGCAATGAACCGAACTGGAACAACTATCGTGTTTGATTTGAGTTTGCTAGCCGAGCGCATCAAAAGGAAAAGAGCTGTGAAGTCTAAAAGTTCCGCTTTGTTAGATTTTCAGGGAGCTATTAATAGTAATTGCTTTGATTATACATGACGTTTCCTTTGTGCATAGAAGCAAATACGTAACATTAAAAGTTTGGACATCATTTACTGCCAGGTCGTTTGTTAGAACCAAACATTATACATTATCATTTTATTTGAAGCCAACTGAATGAACAAATTATCGGTCTATTGATTGCAAAGCGAGGGAGGGTGAAAAAATATAGTTACCTAAGCAACACAACACTACCGAGCAAAACAAATGTGGAAATTGTCGACAAGGCAGACATATGGACCATATTAATTTTCTTATATCCGTGACACTCAATTTGAAAAAGTATCACTCTCTGACTGTCATCAATACAAATAATTGCCTGTAGATGTAATAGGGTGTTTTGAATGTTGAAGTACGGTAATGCAAATTGATATTGAAGCCGTATAATGAATTAGCAGTTTCACTACCCTGTAAGTGATCACTTGATTGTATACACTCAGAATTTAATGACCACTGGATTTCGTTCACTCGTGAATTCTTTACAAGTTTTCTGATAAACGCGCTGCTTTTTTATCTGTTTTTCGCGAAAAGCAGAAGAGCTGTCAGTGAGCTGTGTCATATAAAACTCGCAATAACTGACTGGGTTATCAACCGAGTCGGCTTTTTAGCGTCCACCTTTCTTTGCGGGCCAAGTTTACCTACGAGTTTAACAGCGAAGGGAAAAGAGAAGCATAAACTTGCAGATCGATGCAGAAATCATCGTTGGACAGAAAAAAGGTAAACGACTTAGTTGCATGTACTTGAACTGGCCGCTCACAGGTGTTCATAGCTCAAACCCGCCTGGTGTTGTCTAGGCGGAAATATATAGATGTGCGGTCTTTCTAGGGTGGCAAAGGATATTCTTTCGCTCGATATTATCATGATCGGGAGCTAATGGCGACAGCAAGCTTTGAATTAAAAATTGCATTAAGCAAGAAGTTAGAAGCTAATAGAGATTAAGAGAGATTAAGGGGAAATATAATGTCTGCTTCGTGGAATGTTTATCCATTGTTTCTTACGCTCTCTGCTGAAAATGTTCTAGAAGCTTTGAAAGTTGCAAGATGTTGGCATCAATCCCAGAAGTTTCTTCAGAATCCCAAATGTAATTCACAGAAATAATCTAAACAAAACTGCACTACATAGTAAAAGTGAAACATGGAGGTGGATACATTAAGATGACTCGATAAATGCCCTGTGAAACGATCTGTGGAGTACACAAGGCCCTGAAGCTATTTTTTGATAAACTTACCTCTCTGCTGGCACATTCTCTAACGAAGCCTCTTCCGTGTAGATCCCTGGACATGTTTCATTAAGAAACAAAGTGTTCTAAGTGACGTGGCCCATCGATGAATCTCAAATTTAAACAGATTGAGTACGAAAAACTCTTGTTTTCATTTGCATAGACTTATGTTGCTTGATTGTTTCGAAAACTTTGCAATTAGAAAAAGGGAGTGTCATTTATGTTTTGCATCAGTGAGTACCAATCGGCAAGTGCTTATTTATAATCCAAGAAATGGGGACAAAAAAGAAAAGGCGCACGAGGGAGGCAGGCCATGCAGGCTATCTCATTCCCTCCAAAAGAACTGTAGTTTAGAGAAGCTGCTGAGGAGTGCGATAATGGAATTGAGAATGTACAAACTTAATTGATATCTGGATACATGCAGTTGAATTTCGATGCAACCCCTACGTAACGAAGGACATGGACCCCGACAGTATAACTAATCATATTCTTCGCCCCCCAAAAATAGAAAAAGTAACTATGGAACAACAAGACCCCCCTATTGAAGAACCCAGATATAGAGTTTCACGGAACACTTTTATTACCAAGGAAATTAAATAACCTTTACATCACTTGCACGGAGACATTCGTCAATGTATGTGGCAAACGTTCTGAGGAAAATTTTTTAATGGCAACGGTCTATGAACAGGATCTCATATCCCTCCCATGGATAAAAAACTAATAATTACTATTATCGGACGTACCGCGAAAAGCGTAACAGAATTATTAATTTTTCCGGGGCACCATATATGGTGCTTGTAGTTGGTAGGATTTCTACACTGACGTCACTTTGCTACAAGAAAAAAGGCATGGCTGCTAAGTCGGCGTGTTTCTCGCATATTAAAATAAGTACAGCGTGACCGTGTTTGTTCCCCAAAAGTGCTGTTTAGAACAATTTTAAAGCACTGTCATCAGTGAATCCAAGTTAATTGCAAGGTTCAAGGGCGATCAACCTTGGGGAAACGCGTGTCGTGACAACATGGCGGAGATTCAGGGTTCTCCCGCTGGCGATGATCCCATGGTATGTATTGCCGCAGTATGACACATTATGTTATCTTCGGCATTCAAATGTTTCTTTGCTATCTTCTCTCTCATCTCTATGTTTTTAACCTGAATCGATCTGATCGATGGTTGTCTGATTATGCGGGTGCGGGCAAGGGAGCTGTCACCCAGGGACTTCGTAGCTTATTACACTGTTGTACTTCTTTACTTGAAAGCAGTATTCAAATACACACTGATTGTGAAAGGGCCATTAAGAGTAACCATTATTTAAATTACAAAAAGTTATGTTTACAGATCTCTATCTAATTAAAAGTGACCATTTGACAGTCACAGGTAGGTTCCTTCTAAAAATACTGTTGAATTAGCCAGTTTTTAAGTTCTGTGGTGGAGAGTTCCACATTTGTGCTCCCTGTACAAAATCGAACCTTTATAGCATTCCGTTTTTGGACGATGTGATTTTTCAATATTTAAGTTACTTCCTCTAGGACGAGATTTGGAGGGGTTGCTTTCGCAGCTCGTTGGAAAGAATTTGCTTAGATATTCAGTCACGTTTAACAAATCGACTACAATATTCCATCGTCTACACTCTTAAAGACTATAGAAATGATGTCATAAAATGTCCAAAACTTAAGCCGCAGGTGAGTGGTTTCACTGCAAAGTTTTGAACATTGGGCAATTCCAGAAAATATCCATACCCAACCACGGACGGCTTCCATGTTTTATCCCCCCCTTGGCTTCGGAAATTCCAAAATGCGTTACCCCCCCATGCCCTCAGAATTCCATAATGGTGAACCCCCCCTCCCCTTCAGAATTTCCGCTTTTTTGGAAGTACATTTTCAACTTAGCAACGCCTATATGAACAAACGAACATGAATTTATGCCTCCTCAAGGCAATTTTACTCCTCTTTGTTTTCTTGCGCTGTTTTGACGTTTACAAAGCAAAATAAATCAAATTCAGACTGTTAAAATCTTTCGGTGGTCAAATATACTGTCGAGGCGTGTTGCGTCCTTTTATACGTCATGTAGTGTGCACGAAAAGTGTTCTAATCTGACAGGCGTTCCTTGGAAGCCAGGGACTGACGCGAGTTTTTTTACTGTTCATCGGATGGGAGTAACAAGAAACTTGCAAGCAATTCATCAAGGTTAATGTGAAACCCACGTTTTACTGTTCACTTCTATAAGTTATGAGCGTAAACACGTGTCTGATCTATCGATGCTTGTCTTCTGCTTCCGCGGTCATACGTTCGTGGTTTATTTACGAACTACAAAAGTCCACAACAATAGCCTTTTCAAGGAACTCACTCTACACTTTCTACTCCAGAAATCCCACCTGTGGAATTCCACCATGCCTTCAGATTTCCAATCGTAAATACCCCCCATGCCCTCAGAATTCCATAATCGTGAACCCCCCCTCCCCTTCGGAAATCCTTAAAGCCGTCCGTGGTATGGTATGGATATTTTCTGGAATCGCCCATTTTATGACATCATTTCTATGGTCTATAACAGTGTAGACTATGGAAGATTGTGGTCGATTTGTTTTTTACAATAAACATTTATTTTTATTTTCCTGCGAAGTTTCTCAGAAAATCACGTGTGAGATGTTGGGTCATTTCCATGGTCTATACTCTCATAGAACATAGCTCTCGACCAATCAGCACACGAGGATTCGTTCAGTTATTGTTAAATTCTTACTGATCTCATTTCATACCCCTGGGAGGTAATTATGCGGGCTGCTCTGTTTTGTAATTTTTTAATTTTGTTTGCTAGACCTTTATTCAGGTTACCCCTAGCCTGCGTTCATGCCCTCTCCCTATTATCCCTTTATGTCTCTCACGGGAAGAGGGCATGATACATTTGTTTGTCGGATCACATGTAAAAAAGCCAGAATTTGGACTTTTTTCTGATTGGATAAGAAACAATACGAATGATTTGTGCTGTTCTGATTAGCCAAAATGTCGCCTCCGTTAGTTGTTGTTGATTTCAGTCTGCATTTTTGCTTGCATAATGAGAAGGGAATACACACGCGGACTCGTTATGAAATTTCTGCCGGCTCAGTTTTCTTGAATTTGAAGAATGCCTAAATAGAAATTTCATCCATTGAAATGTTTTCCATCTCATCGTATACTAAAAATTCACAATTCACCGATCATTCGAATGCAATTTGATAATGGCTAAAAGTTACCCGACAGAAGCGACAAACGGTGGAATGGAATCTTGACCTGGTTTGACTGTAGTTCCTCCTTCAGAAACCTGCGAATTATTCTGAGCGATCTTCGCTTTCATAACACCTTTCGGTTCGTGAAATATGATGCTTTAACCTAATTACTTTTTTCACTGCTTTCGGTACAGAACGAAGTCAACGAGCTTTAACCAGTAAATTCTTTATTATTTGTAGCTGTTAAATAAAGGTACGGCAGCTCCAGCTAGCAGTATTTCATCACAAAAAACAACACATTTAATTTTTTTTAGGAAGCGTCATCTGAACATGGAAGAGACGTTAATCGTGCCAAAATTTGATTCCCTTATTGTAAACGTTTATTGGCTAATAACATGACAGGTGAAGCGGACGTTGGATTATGTAAATTAGGGGGCGGTTGACGGCTTGTTAAATAAATGTATCAGGCGTTATTTTTTCCCCTCTCAAGCCAAAGAAGCAAAAAAAATACTAATAATAAATAATGCCTGATCTCAGGTTAGGTTACCCCAGACAGCATCACAGTAGTCAAAGACAGGCTGTATTAAAGAACTGTAAATTGTTGTTAGTACATCTTGAGAAACAAAATCTCAAGCCTGCCTAAGACTCCTTATGGAACGACTGACATTGGAGCCTACCTTATCAATGTGTTGGGCCCATTTAAGATTTTCCTCTGGGTATACTCACAAGTGTTTTGTCTGCTTAACTCTATTAATTTGTATGTCTCCAAGAGTGATCAGGATTGTCACTCCTAGATTAGATATTCTAAAACTTGTGCAAAAGAAACATAATATGTTTCTTTTGCACAATATATTATATTCTGGTTTAGTTACATTTAAACTGAGCTTGTTTGCCAGCAACTAGTTCGTAGTGTCAATGAAATCTTGATTTATGCATGGCAACACTTCTAGAGTCAATTCTGATGCAGCACTTAATAAAATATCATCAGCGTACATGTGTGGCTTGGGAAATTGCAAACAGTTAGTATAGGGAGGTCATTGATATATGTTGAGAATAATAATGGACCTGAAATACACCTCTGAGGAACCCCATATGTTACAGTTTGGGGTTTAGAAATACTGTTGTCCAGAATACATTGCTGCTGCCATCAGATAAATATGATTTAAATCAGTTGATGGCCACTCCGGTAATCCTTTACAGTTAAAGTTTCCTTAGTAATACTGCGTGAGAGACAGTATCAAAGGCTTTAGCAAGATCTTAAAATACTGCTAAAATGATTGTTCAGGATTTCACAGATGTTATAGGGTTAAGTGACCGATTTATTGTTTACTTTTAGCTCATTTATTGAACTTCTATTTGTTGACTTAGAGACGCAGAGTTTTTTTTGTGTGTCTTTTCTAGAAGGTATGCAACTCAGGAAAGCATGAGATACATGTACAATGTAGGTCATGAAATCCTGAAACTCACGAACCCAGAAGTCTTTGCAAAAGTTGTCACACTTGATATTTGTCATATTATATACTGATAATGTCTGATAAAGTGCCATTTAAGCCACGTGTTGACTTAAACATTCTTCTGTTTCAGCTTACCGTACATCAGCCCATTTCTTCCTAGCAAACTACTGCACTCAGCCTGTAACTGTCCAGCCACATGTTCTTTTTATGAAGCTTGTACATGTACTACTGTTGATATAAGACTTGAAGCTATCAATTTCAATATTTTTCAATTTTTTTATCAATTTGGAGCCTCGTTACCTGTAGGCTCCCTGTATTTATGGACTGGCATTTCAGTGTCTGTAAATTTATTAACACAAAATTGTAAGTGTACAAAATAATGTGTCTGTTATGAGGTGAACCAATTTCCAGGTAACAACAGATGCCTTAAAATGCTATGAATTAGTCAACAGACTACAAGTATTGAAGTGCTGTATATATGTTACTGAATTCAAAAGGGTCCAGGATAGGTTAATGATGTCTCTATTTGCCTTGCTCGATTCTCGATTCTCTAATAGTAAACAGTTATCTAAATGTATGGTCATCATTTCCTTATAATGTACTCCTTAATTTACTTTAAGTATTTCTGCATTGTGGACATTGTGTTATTACACAATTTGCCATGAAGCTGAATGTTGTTACATAGCCAGTAAGAGTGGTATCAATTAAGTTGTTTAGAATGCAAAATTTGTGAGCAATAATTTATTTATTGCTTTTTTTTTAATAATAGGTGCTATCTAATGACAATAATTCAATGTCCGAAGAAGAAGAAGAAGAAGAGGAAGAGGAAGTTGAGGTTAAAACAAATGGCTATTAAATTTGTTATACAATGTATGTTTGCTCAGGTGCACACAGAATCCCGTGCAGTCAGATAGGATAAGGATGACATCATATCTTCCAATAATCTCCTAGCGTTGTGTAATTTAATAGGAATCCAGGATTCTTTGTAGAGAACCCTGATCACACGGTGTTGTACACAGGCTCCACAGCTTGTTAAAAAAAAATGAAAAAGAATGCAACATACTTTATTTCTTTGCTGTCCTTTTGTATTTCAATGAGACACACTCATTTACATCTCTGATATCAACTTCACCTTCTGCACTTACTTAACATAATATCATTCGGTGATAGTTAGAATGCAATGAATAGAGTGAAATTATTTATTTTTTAAAACCCTAACTGCTTTTGGAAATTTGTTGTTGAATTTGTTTTTAGTTATTTTGCACTTTTGCTATAAATACTTTAATAAAATATTTCAGTAAACCAGTTTTTTCATGCCAGCTCGTAAATTTTGGCATTTCATGAAGGAGCTGTCAATGTCTTAAATCATGCAGCTAATCTCTTTGACAGGAGTGCATGTAAGTCACCATAACAATGGTTGTTAAGCAACCATGTGCACTTACATGTAACTCTTTATTCAGTCAAGCATCAAGCTACATTCTGTTGAATTGTGTCTAACGACAAATGCACTTGAAATGTACCGTGTAGTAATAATAAATAATTGTTTTTTCCTTCTGTTTTAGAATTCATCACAATCTGACTATGAAGATGGTTCAGATTCTGAGAGTGATCTAAATGAGGAGGTAGATTTATCTTAACCTTACACGAATATGTTGAAGTTGATTTTTATTTCACCTATTTTTTGGGTATTGTAATGTATGCTAATGAAGTTGATACAAAAGAACAAGTTACCCGAGATAAAAGAATTGACTACACCACTTACAGGTGTACATCCAGGCTCATTGTTCACACAGTTCCACATGTAGATAAGCTTTGAAATTAATATCTTTATTTGTTAGAGATAAACATTTCTGATACAATGATGCAGGGTTGGCTTCAACCAAAGGACGGAGAGGGAATCTTAGGGTGTCCTTTGGGACATGTGAATTTATAGAGGTTGTAGTTAAACGGAAATTTAATTTCTGTGACAGGTGCTTGTTTTTTATCAAATGTTTGAAGTGTCACCAATTCCACGCATAACTTCCACAAAGCAAGCATTTCAGAATATTGCAATAGCCATTGTGACGACGACCTCTCCCCAATCTCCCTCGACAAAGTCTTTTGTTGACACCCGCCGTCGTCGGATCTTAAGCTGCCTATTCTCTCTTACCTCAACCTTAAATCATTCAGTGTCAATTTTTTCTATTATTTTCCCAGGATAGTGAGTTTGTAGAGTACTTGGCCAAGCTGAGGGATTCAGCAAAAATGAAGCAGATCCTGGAAATTGATGGCCCACTGTCAGCTTCGAGAGTGGTCAAACAGTATGACGAGATTTTAGCTGAAACAGCTACAAGTATAAACACTGATACCAGAAATGACCGGCCAGCGCAATTCCCCCCTTTGCCGGTCATTAATTCCTTGAGGGAAGTGTCCTCACAGATGATGGCATTTCAGGCTTCTCCGGACACTCCTGATGGAACAGCGTGCAGTTCAGCAGTGAATGCTGCCCGCCAAATTTGCTACTGGTCATCCCTTCTCATGACAATTATGGATGAACGCAATGTGGTGCATCCCGTAACTACAATGCCTTCATCAACATTGGAACCATCAACGTCTTCTACATTGTCCTCCTCATCTTCTTCTGCATCAGTGTTACCTTCTATGCTTACAACAACATCATCCAGTCAACCCCGACCTGCCTCATCATCAAATGTTCCAACGTCATCTGTACTACAAGATCACCTTCCTTATTCCTCATCTCATCAGCAGGCTCAAAGCTCAGTTATAGATCATCAACCTCCCGTCTCCGTTTCTTTGCAGTTTCAGCAGAATTCCCTTCCATGTTCTACAGTTTCCTCCAACGCTTCCTGTACAGTGTCTCCATCGCTCTATTCATCATCACCACTCTTGTCCTCTACATTATCTGGACAACCCCCAACAATGTATTCATTCTGTGGTCAACCTGCTCTTTCCTCTTCTTCCTGTGTGCAATCTCAGTTTTCTCGGCATCCTCAACCTCTCTCAGTCATCTCTGCACCCATACAAGTTACACCATCATTTTTCCAACAAGTTTCATCGTTTGCAAGTGAGCGTCAGCCTCCTTCCTCGTTTGCCTGCACACCAGCTGTCCACAGTTCTTTACCCACTGCCTGTCCGCCAGTTCATCAAGATTCTCCTGTTCCAGTCTCTCGTCAGTTACCTCTTTGCCAACCATCTTCGTCAAGTACTTCTCTGTCACTGTCTTCTACAACCGTTAACCAGCCTCCACCCGGACAAAGTACAATGCCACCACCCAGCTCTCTGATGATAGTGGATCCTGCGACTCTTGGCATGCATGCCAAGTATGGTTTTCCTGGACAACCCTGTACAGATTGGCTAAATACCTTAAAAATACCGAGAAATGTAGAAAGTCTTGATCAAGTCAAGGAGATTTGGGAGGTTGGAGGTCCAAATTGCCCACCATTGAAAGATTGGACCGTACTTATGAGGAATTACAAGTCAGGCAAAGGACAAAATACTTCCGTGTACAGTCAACGTAAATTTATTTACACACTTTTTCAACGGCATGGGTTTGACGTTAACAGCATTCGTGCGCAGTATAATGAACTTAAACCTGGTAAACTTTACAAACTTTTAAACACGAAACAAAAGTGATACTTTTGGCTATTTATTTATAAAATTCCCACACATAACAAACCTGATATGAACACGAGAGAGTGTTGGTGGTATTCTCGGAAGAAAAAAAAAAATGTTCATTAAAAAGTAAAGTGCGAACAAAAGTGCTGTGTTTAAGATTTCTCATTTCAATCGATTCGGGCCTGGGCCCGTTTCCCATTAACTTTACGCGGCTCCGCTGGCGCGGAAAGCTGATTTATCTTTCCCGAATTTGCATTCAAGATCAGAGTTTTAATAGATTTGGAAATGGTAAAATCAAAATATCAGTTAACGAGGCAACATTGACCGCTTTGTGAGCTAGGAACTGTGCTACTATTTAACTGGTTTTCATTTCAATATTTACCTTCGGGCCCGAAAAGTTACCGGACCTTTCGATAAACGCGCCCCTGGCCTTCATTTAGTTGAATTCTCGGTTTTGTCTAACTTTTGAGAATTCCCCAACCTCTTGAGTGTTTATATCAGGCTTTGCGAACACAGGAACAAATGAAATAATTTTCCCGGCAAAAGAAGCCAAATCTCGACTTTCTTACGGGTCTGATTAAGGATGGTAATAGTGTGGATTCCACTTCCTTTCTGGTTTGTTTAATCACGAGAATGATTACAGACCGACTTGGACGACACTAATGCCCCACTGGCACCTACAAAGAATTCAAAGGAACTTAGCAGTTTTAATAAGAAAATACATTTAAACCTTGTTTAAGCTCTGTTGTGTATAGCAAATCTTGTGATATTTTATGCTTTGCTAGCAATGGCAAAACAAGTCATTTAAGTGTTTGCGCATTTAAGTAGCCTCTGCCGACAACCGTTCAATTTTCTATCGTGCATGTGGGAAATAACCCGTATTTTTTAATTTATTCGTCCAGATTTCTGGACGGATTTGAACGGTTGTCGGCAGAGGCTACTTTTCGCATGCCAGCTTACACAGTGAAAATGTAGCCTCCGCTCGCAGGGTGGTTGGAGGGGTAAATGAAGAGACGATTTTCATCTGGCAAAAAAAATTCATTTTCATGCAATTATTCGCCAACGTGTCCACCGTGCACAGACTCTTACGTAGTTACAATTAAGAGAGAAATTTGTGAGCTGTCGTACACGAGGTCAGCGTTATCAATCCTTGCTTTGCAGAAAATACGGACAAAAAAAAGTGATGAAGAAGTTATTGTCCCTTAAAACCTCGTGTTTGAAAAGATAGTAAAGCATGTTTGTAAAGATTGTTCAAGTTTGAAACCTGGAAGAAAAGGGTGAATTAGGTAAGCTTGTCGAGTTAAAAAGATCAATGATGACTCTGACTTTATACAATCAATGTATGATTTCACAAACAACATAGTCCTAGAGGCGGCAGTCTTGCTTATAAAAATACCTGTCATCAGGGTACCTTAATATTTTTTGCCAGTATATAAAATGATATTTAACTTAAACAATATGCATGCAATAAAATGTTTCGTTCCAAATTGCTACAGAGGTACCTAAGTTGTCGTTGCATTTTATTTATTATTATTACTGTTTAAACTTATAGTTTAGGCAAGGTAACCGGTCTCCCTGATTCTGGGAGTGTAATATTTTAGTTGACGTTTAGAAAATGACTGTGAATGTCTATCAGTATAAGTAAGAATAGTTAGACGAAGCGAGCGTCCTTTCGCAGTTTAATTTTGGCAAGTGTAGCCCAGAAGCTATTTCATTTTATCTCCCTAACAGTTTAGAAGGACATTTTGGTTTTTTCAGGTTAACCGCATTTTGCGATGGTTTCAAACCATGTCTTAGTATTCATTCGCCATGTTTTGCGTTATTGCAAACTGTGGTTTCAAAAGCATGGACTGAAGGCTTTACTTTTAATTCCACATTTTGCAATAACGCAATCTGTGGTTTTTTCAGGTTAACCGCATTTTGCGATGATTTCAAACCATGTCTTAGTATTCATTCGCCATGTTTTGCGTTATTGCAAACTGTGGTTTCAAAAGCATGGACTAAAGGTTTTACTTTTAATTCCACATTTTGCCATAACGCAATCTGTGGTTTTTTCAGGTTAACCGCATTTTGCGATGATTTCAAACCATGTCTTAGTATTCATTCGCCATGTTTTGCGTTATTGTAAACTGTGGTTTCAAAAGTATGGACTAAAGGCTTTACTTTTAATTCCACATTTTGCAATAACGCAATCTGTGGTTTTTTCAGGTTAACCGCATTTTGCGATGATTTCAAACCATGTCTTAGTATTCATTCGCCATGTTTTGCGTTATTGCAAACTGTGGTTTCAAAAGCATGGACTAAAGGCTTTACTTTTAATTCCACATTTTGCAATAACGCAATCTGTGGTTTTTTCAGGTTAACCGCATTTTGCGATGACTTCAAACCATGTCTTAGTATTCATTCGCCATGTTTTGCGTTATTGCAAACTGTGGTTTCAAAAGCATGGACTAAAGGCTTTACTTTTAATTCCACATTTTGCAATAACGCAATCTGTGGTTTTTTCAGGTTAACCGCATTTTGCGATGACTTCAAACCATGTCTTAGTATTCATTCGCCATGTTTTGCGTTATTGCAAACTGTGGTTTCAAAAGCATGGACTAAAGGCTTTACTTTTAATTCCACATTTTGCAATAACGCAATCTGTGGTTTTTTCAGGTTAACCGCATTTTGCGATGACTTCAAACCATGTCTTAGTATTCATTCGCCATGTTTTGCGTTATTGCAAACTGTGGTTTCAAAAGCCAGCATTGGCTATATATTAGGCTATAGCGGCGCTCATGATTAAAAATCACAAGTATCATGTTGGAAATCTACAGGCATTTATTCTTTCAAAGTTGATTGGACTTTGATGATGAAAGTAAGGCCGGAAAAGGTAAGAAAGAAAACGTGCTTAGCTGTGTCGGCGCTTAAGATGCTATTGCGAAATACGTTTATAGTAGAGTTCCACATTTTGAGTTGATTGTAAAATATGGCTTTCACCATTGAGACAAAGATTGAGACATTTCAAAATGTGGTCTTAGAAATATACCATATTTTGAGGTAGCGCAAACCGTGATCTAATCAGACGTTAGTCATCCAGACTCTAAAACGGCCACTGTAGAGCAATATTCTTGTCTTGAAAGAATGTGGATGTCAGTTCACGTTGATGACACCATATTTTGATGTATTGCATTCTGTGGCTTATTTTAAAGTCACAGTTTGCATCATAGCAAACTGCGGTTCAGGCAAGAATACCACACTTCGCGTTGAAAATATCACCGCAAAATATGGCTTTTATGTTTGCGCCACAGTTTGAGTCATTGCGAAATGTGTCCCATACCAGAATCCCGTATTTGGCGTTAAATATGTTCGGAAATATATGGTTCAAATCGCAACCGCAAGATACAATTTTATGAACGGCGAATCCGATATACAGCACCGGTCACCCCGCCAGTGTGACGCCAGCATATCTGCTTGTTATGGAAAGTTTTGTAATATAATAAAGGAATAATAAAATTAAAAGGTGATAAATTTTGTTCTCGATTGGCCCACTTAATCCAGAAACGTAGATAATACAAGCACTTTATCATCTAGCATGTCCCTCTCGTGTCAGTGAAAACGGGGCTCCACTTTACGGGTCCTTTAATACGGGTACACGTAGGACATGCTCTCCTAGATCGATGTCAATGAGAGAGGGTCGTTCCCTGTCGTGGTGTCCAAAAGGGAACCTTTTTCAATCTCCAGTAATCAAAAAGGGTGGGGCTTTCATGATTTTAGGATTATAAAAAGGGTATGGAAATCGGTTGTCGAGTCAAGGGTTCAAAAAAGGGCTTTTAATCAAAATTTTTTGCACAGGTGTACCACCCTGTCTACAAAGAGGAGACTATCAAGGGGCGATTTCTTCTTATCAAGGAACAATTAAACAGGTTTGGGTGTCCGCAGAGCGGAATTTCATTAGTGATCTCAATCAATTCTAAATGATGGCAAATGCCGGCAAAGTGAATTTGTACCACATGACAAAGTTTCACATTTCTATAGATAGTCTATCAAGTTGTTTCAAGGCAGTTTTATCCACAAGAATTGATTTCAGCTCTTTTTATCTGCTTAATATCTATTCGAGCAATTATCAACCAGAATCTGACGTTTGCCGTTTTTCCCTTAAACGGGACTCTAACTCTCTCTGCCCTGCTGGGGTGTTGCCTGCGTGCAGACGTCTCCTATTTCCTTGTTGCAATGAGACGTCTGCACGCAGGCTACTGGGGTGGGGCATTTCAGTCAAATATTCTAGAAGCGGTTTATATGCCAGTTTAGATAGAGAGGAAAACAAAGATCGCTAGCTTAATTTTTGTCAAAAGATTCCTCTTGCCTCAAGGCAATGTTCAACTCTGGCTGGATTACCTACACCTAAACAGAGTCGTGTGTAATAATTCCCCGGGGTTGGGCATTTGCACACCCTTTTTTAACCCCACTGTGGGACAATAACAGCTTTTCCAAAAATTCAAACAAAGAAATGCCTCGCCCCATGTAAGGGGATCCGACAAATGTTGGTTTGTGGCATGGTGTAATGACTGCTTTTTTGGAACCACTTTTAGCCCCAGGGAGACGGGGAGGGGGGGGGGCAAGTAACCCTGGGGGAGTTGACTGTATTAAATTTGACGTAAACGTAAAACAAGATCCCGAGGGGTGGGGGAATTTGATAACCTCGCCTTCTGGAAAACATTACCCAGTCGACTTCCTTAAAAGCAAACTTAACGCACTTTATGACTCCCTTTCAGTTAGACATGTTAGAGAAAGGCTTGGAAAACACACACGTACCACATTACAGGGGACACCAAAGAATATCGTGTAACACAGCAACAGCCAGATAGCCGGGAATTTATTAATGAGCCATGACAAATATCTACCACATAAGCCATGAAAAGAAACATTCAGCCGTTATAATATCCTTGTCTTATAGCCCGTTTAATGTAACATAATTCATAGCCTGCTCAACAAAGCAGCTGTTGCAGTGGAACCCCGCCTTTTAACCACCTCGT